CGTGGCCCCATGATCCAAATTCAGATACCTGGCTCGTATTTATGATGGTTGCAGGATCCCGGGGTCCCCTTTTGCGACCTTCTGACAAGCCAAGTCAAGGAGAAGTAGGATTCGCTTAACAACCGTAGCAACTGAGGCAAGAAAGGTCACATAATGGGGCAAAATTAACTTAAAGCATGTCTCGCTTAGCAACGGGAATTTGGGGCTCAACTGGGGTTTTAAGTGAAGGACTACCTACACTGCTACCGAGAAAACTACACAGATTGTAGCCCAGGAAATCACCAAGGCTGATTCCATTTTTACCGCACCACGAAATGATTTTTCAACCGGGGGGGTGGGGAAAAAAGGCAACCGAGCATCTATCTAAAAGCTTGGAAGGAATTAAATCTGCCACCCTCCATCTACCCTGCGTTTCAGCCATATTATCCTGGCTGACGTCATTCTTACTGCGAGATGCACATCCTGAAACCTGATAGAGCCGGTCATGTGGATGGTCTGAAATAATGAATTAAAAGGCATCAAAGCGGCAACTCAAAATTATTTCTTTTAAAAAACGCTACGTGGTTTGCTGGATATGCAGCAGACACTAGAAGCATCAATGCTGGGCAAAGTTCTGAACAGTCTTCTCTATCTTATCCATCTCCTTAATACTCATCTGTACATTATTCATGAATGTATAGTGTAGGAGTTGGGACCCCTGAGGCAAGGTCGCACAAGTTAGCATTAATGTTAGGTAGAATCTGCCCTTGGGGCTATTTGGTTTAGTGCAAAAGTTGATGGCGGGTATTAAAAGTCGAATAATTTTTTTCGGCCCTAGCCAAGATCAGAAATAAGAAGACAGTATTCTTCACAAGATGATGTAAAAGCCTGAAAAATCGCAACATATGATGTGCATATATACTTACACACACACACACACACACACACACACACACACACAACTTGGCAAATGATGTACATGGATTGGTGTTGTCAGAGAGGGAACACCTGGACTATTATTCCACAGCTGAATAAAACCCCAAACATTTAACCCCTTAAAAGGTTTGCTTTACCAACTTCTTTTTTTAAAAAGCCATTAAGTGAGCAGTCAAATATACTACCTCAATCTGTATTTCTTTTTTAAAGGAATCTCCTAATATTTCCATGACAGACAACTCCAACAGTACATCACTACCCCCTTGTGGATATGAGCTAAAAGCTGTTGCTTCCAAATTTCAAAAACTATATTCTTTTGGGGCAATTCTCACCAGGAAATGTTCAGGATTTACCTGTTTCACTCTTAAACATTAACGATTATCGGTCTACATTCATCTAAAGACCAACTGAACTCTCACCAGCCTTAGTTTATATCGAAGTTTCCTATCTTTGGAAGAATGTAACAAAAATGCCTTGATTAATGTAACACGGTCCTAAAATGTAACACGGTCCTAAAAAACGGATGGCTCTATTTATTGACTGTACTGAGAAAGTAATTGATACGTTATTTTAACAGGAAGCTTTCCATTCCTATCAAAACTCATCTCAAATCATCTAAATGGATGGACCAAAAGAGAGAGAGAGAGATGCGAATGAGAGCACAGGACAATTTCATTTTATAGACTCTCCATGCTGGTACTTTCTTCGGTGAAATGACACTACCACTTCTCAGTTTTTTTAAAAAAAGATATATTTTTTAAATTTCCAATATCCAAAACAAACAGACTTCAAAAATCCACCGCCGCTTATGACTTTCACAGTCCATCTTTCTTCCATTTGATGCCCCATCGGCTATCTTGACCTTCTCTAGCCCCATCATATCCAGCAGAAATAGAGGGCAGGAGGTTGTGGGATGACTCCGATGTCCCCCACCATATTGTTTTCATTACCATTTTCCAGGCACTGGTTATTTCCAGTTCCAGCTACTACTAGCCTCTCTCAACTGCTCTAACAATGACCTGGGTCAAAGCACCTCCCAGACTGGAAGGAGCAGAGCCTCTTTCAGCAACGCACGGTGCAAACGTTTTGTAGGACAGCGGGCGGCAACTCACACAAACACGTTCAGGAAGATGTTATAAATACACAGCGCTGCCCGTAGGTGAGACGAAAGGAGGCACGCAAGGACAAATACGAGCCTTGGACTAAGCTCATCTACAACAACGAACATCCACTGGGGGATTTTTTTGCCCCATCCGTAAGCACACCTATTTAACTTTGCAAGGGGGAGGAGATGAAAATATTGCTCAATGGGGCAACCTCTGTGTCACCACTGAAAAGCACGGGAAGATGAATTTTTCACCATTTTTTAAAAATTTCAGAAATGAAGCACACTTCACCTTCCAGGCAGGATCTCGTATGGGCAGGATGAAAAAGAGGCAGGATTGGCTAACCACCTTTCTTAAGTTTCTCTGATGAGCAGCATCAAGTGTGAAATTGCCTGACGCCAAGCTAGTCCTTCAACTCATCTCTTATGTTCTTGCCCTGGTGAAAAATACCCAATCTTCTGCCTCCTTGAAACCTGCAAAGGCTTTCCTGAAATCTCTAGTAGCCAAAGGGATTCTAACAGATTTGCAGATGGCAGGAACTCAATGCAGGACCATCAGTGTGTGTGTGTGTGTGTGTGTGTGTGTGTGTGTGTGTATGTGTGTGTTTTAAAAGCTACACCTACAATGACAGCTCTCACCTTTTCTCCCCCCCCCCTCTGAAGCACCTGAACAAGCTGACTCCACACTTACACAGTGTGCAGAGATACCTTCAGGAAATAGGAGATACTACTTGCCAACAAGTGAGGTGCGCAACTACAAGGCTACCTATGGTTCAGCAACATTTAGGCCATACCGGCAAGGATTGTTGGCATGTGTGTGTGTAGGAAAACCAAGATCTCGGCAGCTCTCAGGGTGGATGGGAAATGGAGGCGCCGTCAACCGTGACCATATATTGGTCCTCTCTCAACTATTTACAGCCGGAAACAGAGGCAGCCATAAAACCGAAGGGGTCGGTCCCTGTTCTCTTTAGGCTTATGCTCTATGGACAGGGAGGAGGCAGGGGAAGGCAGGCATTAAATCGAAAGCATTGAATGTAGGCCAGTCATGATCCCGAAATCCTGTCTGGGTAGCTTTATATGTATATATGCATGCGCGTGTATGAATACGTGTATATGTGTGTCTGGACGAATATATATATATATATATAGAGAGAGAGAGATGACAAGATACAGGTAGATAGATAGGTAGGTTGATAGATGATAAGTAGGTAGATACAGGATAGGTAGGTGGAGGGATGGATAAGGGATGATGATGGATAAACAAGAGACAGAAGATAAAGAGATATAGACAGATGATAGATGATACACATAGCCAAAAATGGATGGATAAAAAAGATGATACTGAGTTATTGATTATAGATCAGAATAGATCTCTCTCTTGCACACACACACACATCTATATATACACAAATCTACATCTGTATCTACATCTGTGTATCTATAAAACATGCACAAGATTGCATCAATGTCAAGTATTTCCCCTTCTCCATCTAGGAAGGCACGTCCAACCCGGGATTATTTCTGCACAGCTCTGGCTTGAGAGAGAGAGAGAATGGAAGGCACCGAGCGAGCGCCACAGACTCCAAAGAGCTTCAGAGGGATTTTTAAATCAAGAGGGACGTTTTCGATCCCACTTCGGGTCTCCTCCTCTTCCCACATCCCGCAGGCGCAGCGCCAGCCGGCAGTTCCCCCTCCCTGCCTCCCCTGAGCCCCCCTCCCCCCAAAAGCCTCCCCATCTTCCCACCAGGAAGTGCTCTCCTTTCTCCCCTCCCCACATTCCACATTCAGACACCCCCCCTTCCTCAACCTGGCGGGGGAGGGACGTGCCCTTGAGGGTCAGGATGCTAAAAGAAAAAAAAAAGAAAAAAAATTGGGGAGGGGGTGTTTCCCATCCCTTCTCCATCCTCGGGTGACCCCTGGAGGCGGCCCAGGCAGGGAGAAGGGCACTTTGGGGGGGGTGGAAGGGGGCTCCCTCGCCCTTTGGCTAGGGAAGGGGGCTTCCCAACTCCTTTCGATATATTCTCCCCCCAATCAACCCGGGAGGACTTTCTGGGCGGGGTGGAGGGAGGGAGGAGGGTCTCTCGGTCGCCAGGCAACGACGCCGGACCGGTCCACCCCCCGCGAGGGAAAAGGAGGGGCGTCCCGTCGGCCCCGCCCCCTCCCCCGGAGGGCGCCCCGCGCCCCCCCCCCCCCCACTTTGGGGGCCCCGCGGCCCCCTACCCCCCCCCCCCCCCCCCCCCCCCCCCCCCCCCCCCCCCCCCCCCCCCGCGCGAGGAACGCGAAGGGCGGGAAGGCGAGGAGGAGAAAGGAAGAGGAGGAGGCGGCAATTCCGGAGGGGCCGCGCATGCGCGTTCCCGCCGGCTTCCCCTCACAGCCATCCAGTCAGTCGGTCGGTTCTTCCCCCCCTCAGAAGGCCGCCCGGCCGGCTCTCCCCGCTCACCTTCCGGCTTGTTTTCGGCGGCCATTTCCCCTCCGCGCGCCACATCCTCCTCCGCCGCCTCCTCCTCGCGACCAGGATCCAGGCAGGCGCGCGCGCTGCTCCCGCCGCCGCCGCCGCCGCTGCTGTCGCCGCCTCTCCCGCTGGCCCCGCCCCTTCCTCTCCTCCGTTTCCGGTTCCGCTCCCGCCTTCCCGGCGGCCCGTAGCCGGCTTTTCTTCCCCCTCGGTGGCTTCGGGCGGCCGTGGCTTCTCTCGGGAGGCCTGCCTTTGCCGCCACCGCCGCCGCCGGCGCGGTTTCCGCCGCCTTTTTCGGCCTTCTTTTTCGTCCTCCTCACGCTCCCTCACACACGCCCGCGGTTGCCATTGGCCGCTCGGCGGGATGGGCGTCGAGGTGAGCCAACCGGCGCTGGGGAGGAGGCGGGCGCGAGGAGAGGATGGACCTTGACTGGCAAGCACGCCGGTGGTCTTGACAAGTGGGCGGGGCCAGGAAAGGGGAGGCGTATCGGAAGCGCGAGGGCAGCTAGGATGGAAGGAGGAGGAGGAGGAGGAGGCGCTCGTTAGTGCTGAACGAGGGACAGTAGCGAATCGGTGGCCGCGGAGGGAGAGCGATGGCGCGATTGACAGCCGCGGCGGCGAATAGGCGGACGGAGAGGCTCTGAAAGGCGGGAAGAAGTCAGTGACGCAAATAGCGGGGAGCACCGGTAGCGCGGCTCAAGAGTAGGGAAGGGGGGGGGAGAAAGGAGAGCGCGAGCGCTCCGAGGGGGGCAGGGCGAAAAAACCCAAAGGGCGATTTCATTGGCTCGGCCTCCTTGACAGGCAGCCGCGCCCTCCTCGGCCCGCTAACCCTAAACAAAGCTCTTGATTGGCCCAGACGCGAGGGAGCGGAGCTGCCACCTGGAAAGGGCCGGAGCGAAGCGGCGGCGCTGATTGGCCAGCGCCTTCTCCCTTTTCCCCCTCCTCCCCTCTCCGCGGGATCCCGCCTCCTGGAATGCGAGTCGCGTGGCGGCGGGCGGGCACGCGTGTCATTGGAAGATTCCCGGGATCCCGTCCTTTCGATAGGCGGCTTCCGAGGAAGGATCGCGCCCCAGCGGTATTTTGCAGGGCGGTGCGTCCTTCATAGCCTTCCCAAGGCCGGGTATTGCAACTTTTTCCAGCTGCAGGCATTCCAATTGCACGTGTGAACGCGTGCACGCATGCAGGTCTTCTCATACAAACCCTTATTTCGCCCTTATTATAATTTTTTTTCAGGTGAGGCCTCTTTTGCGACCACCCTGAGCTCCTGATTGCATCCCTTGGCCAGCAAAACCCTGCAGGATAAGGGGAAGATCCGAATGCTTGGGGCATCTCCGTTGAAGGATCCCCTGGGATCTGTTTTTTGTTTTTTTCAGCCAGCCTTGTCATGAACAACTCAGGAATTCTGGATCAAAAGCTCTCGATTTGCTGGAATCAAGATGTATTACATCGGCAGCGTTCCCACCGTCCATTAAGGAAAGGAAATGATGGAAGAAAAAGGGGGTAAAATAGCTAAAATTCCACTATTATTACTTAAAAAGAGCAAATGTGACAAAGTTAGATGCCCCTCCCCCAAATAATCTCACTTTAAAGCAGGGGGGGAATTTGAAATAGTCCTTGATTTACAACAGTCCATTTAGTGACTGTTCAAAGAAAGAAGGGAACTGAAAAAAGGGACTTTTTTTTCACACTTGTGACCGTTGTAGAGCCATGTGATTGATATTCAAACACTCAACAATTGACTCGTATTTACGATGGCTGAAGTTCGTGTGATTCCCTGTTTGCGAGCAAAGTCAGTAGGGAAGCCAGATCCACTTAATAACCGGGTTACCACAATAATTCACTTAACAGCTGCAGCCAGGAAAGGTTGTAAAATGGGGCAAAGCTCCATTTAACAACTGTCTTGCTTAGCAGCGGGAATTTTGGCTCCCATGTTGGTCATAAATTGAGGACTACTTACCATCCCAAAGTGGGTGCATTGGCAGGGAATTAATTCGGAATAATTGACAATGACAAAATGCCATCAGAAAACATTTTCCGAACCTTAAAATATCTGGAATTTGGCCTTTTTAAAAAAAAAATTGAGTGATAGATGTCATCCTTGTTCTCAACTGGATGTTTCTCTCACCAAATTATCAAACCAAATCAGCACAAGCCGAGATTTTTCAAAATTATCGTCCTATTTCCCCTGTTGCCTTTTTTTAAGAAAATCACCATAATTTGTTATCCGAAACTTGGCTGAAGTTCCCCCCTCCCTTTCTAATGACATTTCCAATTCTTAATGAGTTTAGGTTTGTTTTTGTTTGTTTTTGCAATAGTGATTGCATAAATACCGACTGATTGCAGTTGGGGCAATATATTGATCTTATAATTAGATCCTTTCCTTTGTAATTCCCTCTTTGATAAACACAAATTTACCCTCGTTGTCTCTCACGGAATTAGTATCTCTAAAACTTTGCAATCCAAACAGCTCCGTCTCTGAGTTTAAGGAAGTGCTGGGAAATCATTCTACACCACCCAAGTGTAATTTTTACCATGCAGTTTCTCTAGCAATAACGTATCTGGCTTAACTTCCTATACAGACTTTTACCTGTTCTTTATTTCATCATCTTTCATTGATCCAGTGCCGTTAAGACTCCATGGCAATATTTTAAATGATCCCATCTCCCAAATCCCAGGCTGATAAGCCACAGGATAAAATAGACAGGATGGGGGAATTTGCATAATATAAACTTATTCGTACTAGGTAACAGCAATATATCGTGTCCATCGGGTGATATGACCTGTCAGTCTGAAGTTGGGCAGTTCCTGTATCGAAAAAGATGTAGGAACATTTCCATCCGTTCATCCATCTCTCTCTCTCTCTGTCTTTGTCTCTCTCTCGCTCTGTCTCTCTCTCTCTGTGTCCCCGTCTGTCTGTATGTCTCTTTCTCTGTCTGACTCTGTCTCTCTCTCGCTCTGTCTCTCTCTCTGTGTCCCTGTCTGTCTGGGTGTCTCTTTCTCTCTGTCTGACTCTGTCTCTGTCTTTCTCTCTTGTCTCTCTCTCTCTCTCTCTCTCCTTTGCCCACTTTCTCTGGAAATTTGCAACTGAGAAGGCGCGGAATAAGAAACCGCAGAGCAAGGGAAGAAACCTCGTTTTGCTGTGATAAGAGAGATGATTGTTTGTGGGCTGACTCGATAAGAATCGTCTCTGGTTCTCAAAAGCATGGATGCCCTTGAGACAGAGAAACTTCTCTTGGCCAGTTGCACAGAACAGGTGCAGAGGAAGTGAGGATTTCATCGAGGGTGGGGGGATGTGTGGGGGTAGAAAGCCGACCATCCAGCAAAAACCGAATTCTTCCCAGAGATGTGCTTTTTTTTGCGTGGATCTGGTCTGAAGACAGGAAGAAGGATCAAGATTCCGGCTTGCTAAAACAAGGTTGTGGCCAGGACGGTTTGACGCCCTCCTCAAAAGTCACTGGCTCTTTTTGAAGGGAGAAGGAAAAAAATGTTGAGGCTCTGGAAAGAGTGCAGAGAAGAGCAACAGAGGCGATTAGGGGACTGGAGGATAAAACATACGAAGAACGGAGGCAGGAATTGGGGACGTCTAGTTGAACGAAACGAAGGACCATGATAGCATCTTGCAATGTTTGAGGGGCTGCCCCAAAGAAGAGGGAGTCAAGCTATTCTCCAAAGTACCTGAAGGTAGAGCGAGAAGCAACGGATGGAAACTCATCAAGGAGAGAATCAACCTAGAATTAAAGGAGAAATTTTCTGACAGGGAGGACAATTAACCAGTGGAACAGCTTGCCACTAGAAACTGTGAATGTTCTATCACTGGAGGTTTTCAAAAAGAAACATGCCGATCGCCCCAATTTTGATCACGGCTGGCTGGGGGGAATTTGGGGAGTTGGTGTCCACAAGTCTTTAAAGCTCTCGTGCCTGAGGAATTCTGGGAGTTGAAGTCCGCCTGCCTCCAAAGTGGCCAAGGTTGGAGACCCTTGCTCTAAAGTATGAGAATGTCTCTGTCCTGTCGTAACTTTGAACAAACAGTCGCAAATCGAGGACTCTCTCTTCCTCTGCCTTACGAAAACCGACTCCATCGCTCCTGGGGCTCGTTCCCACCTGCCTGCCAACCCGCGTGTTTTCGGGGGAAAGACAGCAACCTGTGTATAAGCCAAAAGAAGAAGTCCTTTTTCCAGGAGGTCCAAATTCACTTCCAGCAAACATCTTGGAACGCTCTGTTCTGCTTGTCAACAATGCGGAGGGTTGATGTTCTCCAGCTGCTAAGATGGGACATCAATTATTTACCAAAGGAAGGCAGCTAAATCTTAAATATTTCAGCCTGAGAATCGTGCTGGAAGAGGAACGGCAGAATTCATGGCCCGATCTGTCTTGTCTCTGTTTGGTTGATCGGCTCTCACCACATGTTGGCGGATGATGTTGAGATACAATCTTCCTAGTCGACCTAGCCTGCAGAGGGGTGCAGGAATGAGAGATTGAGAGAGCTACGTAGGTCTAATGTGAGAAGGGGAAGGACTGGGGTGACATGATAACATCTTCCAGTATTTGAGGGGCTGCCCCAGAGAAGAGGGAGGGGGTCAAGCTATTCTCCAAAGCACCAGAAGGCAGGACAAGAAGCAACGGATGGAAACTCATCAAGGAGAGAAGCAACCTGGAATTAAGGAGGAATTTCCTGACAGGGAGGACAATTAGACTATGGAACTGCTTGCCACCAGAAGTGGTGGGTTGCTCCAACACTGGAGAGTTTTAAAGAAGAGACCGTAGGGGGTTGGACTAGAAGACCTCCAAGGTCCCTTCCAACCCTATTGGAAGGTCTCCAGATGAAGAAGAGGAGTATGGCTAGAGAGAAAGAGAGGGAGTGAAAGAACAAGAACGGAAGGGGGAAAGGAAGGAAAAATGAGAGAAGGGAAGGGAGGAAGGAAAAGGAAGGGAAGAAAAAGAAGAGAAGGAAGGAAGAGGAATGGAGGGAGGGAAGGAGGAATAGAAGGAAGGGAGGAGATGGAGGAAGGAGGGAGGGAAGGAAAGAAGGAAGGAAGTGAAAATAAGGAGAAGGAATGGAGGGAGGGAGGAATAGAAGGAAGGGAGGAGATGGAGGAGGGAGAGAGGGAGGGGAAGAAGGAAGGAAGTGAAAATAAGGAAGGAGAAGGAATGAAGGGAGGGGAAAGAGGGAGGAAAGGAAAGCAATAATCAGCCTTGAATCTCAGCCTTCTGAGTCGATTTTCATGTCTGAATGGCTTTCAGCGTTTCCTGGAAACAACCTTTTTGTGTTAGCCTGGCAACCAACCGTGTAGGGAGCATCTTCAGGTGTGGGATGGATTCCTCCTCCTTTTCTGTAGCCGAGAGGATTTATTTCTTGGGCCAAGAGACAGAAAAAGGACCCCAGCCCTTTCCACAATAACATTCGGGGTGGCAACAGGATCGGGGGGGGGGTGAAATGTCCCCCCAAATAGAAGCAAAGATACCAGGGGAACATTTTGGAGCGACATGCTCACTTGTTGATATTCCCTCTGGGGAATTCATTTAACATTTCTGTGCCGTCTGAGAGCCGCTGCCGCCGTCCTTGGCCAAGGAATATTCTCATTTTCTTTCCAAAATCCTCCTTGGGTCACGTCTCACACCCTTCCTCAACCCATCGCTCTTATTCTCCTCCTTTTGTTTTTTTCCCCTCTTCTTTCTCTCCTGTCTTTCTCTCTTCCCTTCTGCAACCGAAGAACTAAGGAGAAATTTCCTGGCGGGGAAGGATTTTTTTTTTCCATTTTTTTTTTCCCCTCCTGTTTGGCTACGACAGAGGCGCGACCATCCAAAGTCTCGTCCGTCTGTCTCATCGCTCGAAAATCCGATTTGTTTTCCGCCCATCAATATTTGATCGGGACGTATTTCTTCCTAAATTGGAATGCGGGACTATAAAAGGAGGCGCTCGTAATGGAAAATCTCTTCCCGCCGGGGAAGAAAAGACCGAGGGGGGGGGGTTGCATTAAGCCAGCAACCCACCCACCCACCCCGAAAGACGAGTTTTAAAATGTCAGGTATCCCTCCAGGCTGTGGGAAGGAAAGACAGATGTAGGAGTAAAGGTAACCGAGTTCCAATTTCCCACAGAAATTAATCCGAGGCGGTGAAAGGCTTCTGCGGTGGCCAGAAATCTGATTTAATGCTTCTAGGGCCCTTGCCTTTTTTTTCTTTCTTTCTTTCTTTCTCGATTTTAACTGTGATCAACTCCCACAAGCTCTTAGGTTGTGCGAAGAATTAATTTCCCTTCTTCTGTTCCTTGTCTCAAAATCAGATTCCAGAAATGGGCAGGGGTCTCTGGGAGATTGCAGGCAGGATTGGGGGGTCTTCAGCCTAGCAAGGATTGGTAAAGTGTCCCTGGAGGAGGAGGAGGCTCTGTGTGAGGCTAAGCCCCCTCTGCCTTTTTTTTACAATTGCTTCAGGGGAATCCCCGGCTTGGCTTCAAATGGAGACAGGAAGGAAGGAAGGAAGGAAGGAAGGAAGGAAGGAAGGAAGGAAGGAAGGGAGGGAGGGAGGGAGGGAGGGAGGGAGGGAGGGAGGGAGGAAGGAAGGAAGGAAGGAAGGAAGGAAGGAAGGGATTAGTAAGGAAAAGAATGAAGGGAGGGAGGAGAGAGATGGAAAGATAGAAGGCAGAGAGAGAAGGAAGGAA